GAACCAAGGATTGGGGAGGGGCCTGTAAAAACTGGGTGGGGGGGGGCCTGGCCCCATGGTGAAATGGGGACCCACCCTCAGCCCTGGGAGACTGAGCAGCCGTTCTGTGGCTCGCAAGCCAGTTTTTGCCTTCCCACCCTTCCCGGTGGGGCTATTTCCCTTTGTTACACGCTGCCACCACTCACTGAATGGACACCACCTTCCTAGAGAGACAGTGAGACCCCTCTGGCTGATTCCCCAACCTTGGGAAGTTGGTACCACACTCTTTGGGTACCCCCTGGAGAGTCGGCAACCTCTCCGATTTGGGCCCGTTTGTGTTCCCTAGCCTCCCTTTGACTCTGGTAATGTGCTGAGCGGGGAGGACTAGGTGGTCAAGGCACACCAGGTCTTATTTAACTCAAAAACATATTTAACTATGTACAAGTTAAGGGCAGAAAATAAATACGATTTAAACGCCATTCCTCTGTCCCCTACACACACCCTCTCTGTCTCTGGAGGTTGTGGGCCTCAGGATGGGTTTTGCTTTCCCCCTCCTGTTGTGGAGAAACCCCAGCCCTTCACCAGACTGGTCACTGGTACTGTTACCCTCCTGGGTGCCCTGGAGTTTGAGGCAATAGGAGCCCCCACCTGTCTGCTGCTTTGAAGCTACTGTCCACACTGAGCCAAAGGCTGAAGACCAGGCTGAAGACTGAACTCCCCCCTCAGGAGCCAAAGCCTTTATCTCCCTGGCTCCGCCCCTGGGGTGTGTCCATATTTTCCCACTCTTGCTCCCTAGTGCTTCTGGGGAATGTAGGCAGGCAAATGAGGAAGTCCCAATCAACCCGGTGAGAATTAGCCCTGCAAGCCCGTCCAGAACTACAGGCCATCTACCCTTATGGGGAATCATTTTAAACACCAACTACAGACGGCATCCATCTTACACACCCAGGTAAATGCCATTTCATTATATGCTGCCATGGAAGCTTTGTTGGGTGAACCTGGGGCCAGTCACCCACTCTCAGCCTAACCTACCTCACAGGCAATGTTCCCTCTAAGCTGTGGAGTCTCGTGAGCAAAAATTCTACTTTGTGAGCTACTGGCATTAAAGTTGTGAGCGAGTAATTTGGCTACTGTATAAATTAGTTTGCTCTGGAGCCATCCCTCCTGAGCTAAGACAAAAATCTGTGAGCCAGAGGCTAAAAACCTGTGAGCTAGCTCACACTAACTCAGCTTAGGGCTGTTGTGAGCAGAAGATGGAGGAGAACGATGTAAGCTGGGTTGGGTCCCCACTGAGGAGAAAGGAGGGGTATAAACAAAGTAAATACATATTTTTTAAAGCCGGACTTATATTACAGCTTAATTTTACTGGAGTTGCACTTGAAAAATGGAATGAAGTTGCCTTCTGCTGATCGTCGAGTTGCACTCTTACATACTCTCTGTACAGAAACGCCATCCAAATGTTATTTAGTGTTACTCCTGTCATTGACCCAAATAAGACATTTCTAGAAAATGGAAAACATTACTCAGCTGTTCTTATCACAGCTACCAGCTTAACAGCCTT